GGTTGGAAGTTATAGAAAGCCCCAGCGGTGTAAAAATCTCTACAGCTTGACCAAACCACTCCTTTTCCTGTATTCCAAACAGACTGAAATCCCATCAGTCAAGTTAAAGCAGTAAAAACCAAAACAATTCAACAAGGCAGTATCAGACTAGCACTCCGGACACTGCATTTCTGCAACAGTAACATCTGCCTTGAAAACAATTTTACCTCCTTTTGTTTCATGTGAGATAACAATGACTACAGAAATCACTACGGAACACATCCAGCGGCAAAATCCAACAGTGAACACATCTGTCTAAAGGCATCTCACTCTCACCTTCCACAAGAAAAAAGGATTATTCAAGAGGAAGTAAACCCTCTACTTTTTTTGAGTGCTCAACCAACATAACCACAAGGGCCTGACTCATTTTAAAAAAAAACAGGGTGGCTCACCACTGCAGCCCATGCTCATCTCACTTTGCTTGCCAATTTAAGCTGAATTACACAGCAACCACTTCTCTGAGACAAAACTCTGGGCAGTGCTTCATCACTAGTGTCCCATTTCATGGAACCATTGGGTAGTGGTGTATTGGCACCATGGAACCATCACCTACTGTCCCTATGACCTCTGAAATATTGGCCATGCGATAATCCAGCTGTACAGGTTCCAACTGCCAAGGTACCTTCTGCCCCTTTCTGCACCACATTGCCACCAGACACTTTTAGACAAGATCATCTGTATCCTCTTTCCCAGCCCTAGCTGACCTGAGGGAGGTCATATATGCCATGTGTTGTGGTTAGGAATGGTATTCCCAAATTCAGATTTCCCACTGTAAAACCCCAGACCACATGCTCACTTCCCCCCACCTCCCCCTGTAGCAAGATGAAGGGAAGAACTGAAAGCACAAAAAAGTAAAGATCACAGGATAAGAACAATTAGCAAAGCAGCAATGGAATAAGAAAAGAAACAGTACCAACGAATAATACTAAAACCAGAGTGCACAAGTTCAGTAAATGATTCACACATGAGTGGTCCCCATGTGCCACCCACCCTCAACCCTGGGTCCCCCCTGAACATGGTGTGAGACATCTCCAATAACCCCAGGGTTCTGGCTGTGCCCCTCCTGGCTGATGCTAACTTTAACACTGTCCTGGCTGGAACCATCTCTCACCACTGATGCTTCAAGAAGCAAACTGACGTCTTCTTTGGGTTCTCTGCTAGCACGAGTCTCCTCTTTAGTAAAATGCTGAACCACAACCCAGAGAACCAGAGAATCTTTGAATTGTTTATGGTGGAAAAGACCCTTAAGATTATTAAGTCCAACCATAAATCTAACACTGCCAAATGAGCCACTAATTCATGTCCCCCACTAAAACATGCCTCTAGACACCCACACACTATCCACACTGCTTTTCTCCTCCTTTCTTTACCACCTCCAAAACCTGTAGGAAGGTCCACTACTTGCTCCAACTGTACCAGATGGCAAAGCACAGCAATATAATCTTAGCACAGCATTTAGATGAAATGCAGAATTGCATCATAGTGTTAACATCTTTTTCTCCCACTAACACTCCCATCCCACCATCACTGCTTCCAAAAAAGTGTGGATTATGTCATTGTCATGTTTCTCATACCTGAAACCTTCCCCACACCTTCTCATTCTCCTCACTTTCCCACTCTCTTGTTTCTCTCTTAAGAAATGGAGATTCACAAACTAGAGACCCCATTCCTTGGGTTCCTTTTCCTAAAATATCTGAAAACTATCCTATGGATACACGTAGAAGTGCATACATTTGTCTGTATGTATGCTACTTTGTTTTATTCTTATGCTTTAGTCCAGAAGGAAGGACCCTGAATTAATCCTGACATGAAGGTGACAGAAGTTCACACAATATTAAAAATAATGAGATAACCTGTTCATAAAATACAGGGCTTGAAAAAAGGACACAGAGTCTTCAGTTACAGAGATATAGTGAAAGGTGCAACATCAGCATCTCCTTTAAACCCAAAAAAGTTAAATTTGAAACATCATTACTTCTTGAGATAATTATTTTGAAAAATTCATTCTTAAGAAAAGTATTGTATTTTATGTTCATAGCTCTTCAGCTAGATTCCTTAAATTAAGCTCATTTCCATGCCCCCATCCTTCCACCCCCATAAACATCAGCTCGTTATTTTAAAAATGCACAGTGAATAAGAAAGAGGCAATTAAGGATGAGGCACTGTAGAAATTGACTGTGACAGGTGTTCAAAGAATGAATCAGTACATGATTTCCCTGTTCTTGTGCTTTTCCTTAAGCATCTGCTTTTGACTTTTTTTCTGATTTCCCCTTGATGTTTGACCCTAAGAAAACCTCTGAAACCTCTTTAGGAAGCGAGGAGCTACAGGAAATTTAAAAAAACTACAACAGCCCCAGGTGTTTCCAGTGACTCCTACCTGGCTTTGGTTAACCTTCACACTCTAATGCTACTCAATGCACCTCATTTGTTGAGAATTACAGCATTAGATTTTCTTGTTATCATTAACCTTTACACAATACTGGTTTTCCCATTTAACTCAGAAAAATCACAAGTTCCTTGATGGCAATTGGTTCTTCCCCCAGGAAGGACACAGCCTCGCTGCAGGAGAGAACAAGTGCTTGTCAGGAGTATTTGTGATGTCTGCAGTAAGCCATTCCTCAGCCTTGTAAGACCTGTGGATTGAATTAATCTGCCAAAATTTTCTACTAAATTTCTATTAACATCACATTGTTCCTAACAGCATAACTGCTGTGAATGTGTATAATAAAATATATATCTAACTTGGCACAGTCTTTTGCAAGGCACACTCTGGGACTGAGATATTCAGTACCAAAAAAGATCACAATATCACAAATGTAGGAAAGGAATGGTCAGGATATCTGGTTGGAAAATGAAAGATAGATTGCTACAGAAAATAATTCTAGATTAACATACTAAATAGTTTTTTTCCCTCTTTGTGTTACACAGAGAAATACAGAATTATTCAGAAGGCCAGCCACTGCTCACAGCAGGGTTAATTAGTGAATCCAGACCAGGCTGCCCAGGGCTTTATCCAGTTGGGTCTTGAAAATCTCCAGGTAGGGAAATTCATAATCTCATGAGCAACCAGCTCCACTGCTTAATCAGCCTGACACTGAAAATGTTTTCCTCATTGGTCATAACATTGACCCCAATATTCATTCATATTGTATAAAGTTGAAATCTCTTAGTTCAATTTGTCCATGTCTTTTGTTCTTCTGTACACTGCTGTCAAGAACACAGCTTCACCTCCCTGTAGGTGTTGGATAGCTCATGCTAGCTCCCTCCAGTGCTGTATTTTCTTCATGCTGAACAAGCCCAGCTTTCTCGCCTCTCTTTGCAGGACCAGTGCTCCAAGCCCTGACCATTTTAATGGCCTTTCATTGAACTCAGATGAGTTCACTGACATCTGGACACATCATTGCAGATATGGTGTAAATAAAGGAGAATCATCACTTCCCTCAGCCTTGAGGCAACTGTTCCAGTGATACAGTCCAGTCCACTGCTATCCTTCAATGCTTTGTGATGATCAAGGATGAGGATGGAGTGCATTCTTGGTTTCTTATTCAATTTTGTCTTGTTTGCTGACCCTGTCAGCACAGGTGCCAAGTAACATCAAACAGCTGAATGAGCAAAGCAGAAGACTTTCTGCAGTTTTGCAGCCTATCCTCACCTAATATGAATGGAAGATCAACAGTCCTGTCAGGATAGCTGCTTCCTCACATCATGTACAACCACATAAAGAACCTGTTAGGATAGCAGAACTGCAGTGACAACATGAGCCACCCACAGTCTTAGGCTTTTTATCTATCTGAGCTATGGATAACAAAGCATCCAAGCAAAGTCACCAGCTCCCTCTCTTCTTTACTGCTCTTCTTGTTTTACCTTTTTTGCATCAGAAATTGTTCATCCCAGAAAACACTATGGAGGTGTGGGATTTTCTTGGTCAATTTCAATGCAAAGATGTGGCCAGACACAGCATTTTACAATTACAGTTTACTAGGCTAAGTGTACACTTGTAACCAGGGACACAGATTAAAAGGAGCTGCAAGAAGGAGCTCAGTTTTAATGGGAAAACAGGGGTTTCCACCTAAAATGTGACAAGTCAATAATACATCATGAAACACAAGATATTTTCAGTTCTCATTCAGTTAATGAGCATAATAACAACCCTCCTCTATCTAACATGCCAACACAGTAATGAAACTAAGATAAAAAGATGAGTGAGCATACTTCATCCAGTATGTTCAAGTATCAATATACTGCTTATCTCTTTGTCGAATAAAAATACTTACGGAATGTATCAGTAATTTCTTTCATTAAAGAGGGAAAAGTATTAGGATTAATCCAGCATACACAGAAAAGTTCTTCAATTTCTTCACTTTAATTTTGAAGGGGACTCTAGAAGTGGGACTTGAAGTTGAGCCTCTAAACACTAAATCTCTGAGTCACGTGTGAATGCACTGCCAACCCCATGGAACCCAGAAATTGCCTCCTATTTTTGCTGGCAGGTTCTGACGCTTGTGAGTCTGCAGCTTGCCTGCTATGATTACCTGAAGAAAATAGCCCTTGACAGAAAAGCCATAAGAAAACACAGTAAGTATATACACCAGTCTTTTGCTTTACCCACCATTGCTGTGTCTAAACACTTCAAAAGCATCTCTCTGCAAACACTTCAGAGGGAAACTTTTGAACACTTCATGAATACATCTGTATTTTATATATTCAAGGAAAACACATTCACTTCATGTGAAAAGGGGTTCTTGCACAATTTAACAGTTAATGTATATATATTTGTAATCAAATCCTGTCAGCATTCATAGCTCTCAATTCAGATTAGTAGCATATAATTTGAACAGGAAAATTGAGGAGAAATACACAGTAGAAATGGCACTTGTTTATGATATTTGCAGCTCTTCCATCTAAGTACCCACACAGATTGCACATACTCCCACAGAGATGGAAATTAATATGTGAAATACCTGTGCAGCTTGAGTGTCACAGTTCCATAAACAGTAGCAAAGCCCAGAAGACGAACCCATCTTAGGAGAATACAGCGAAATATACTTGGCTCAAAATACAAAATGACAACCTATAGAACAGAAAGATAGAGAGAGCTTCAGTACTGCTTTCATGAGAAAGTAGTTCTTCATTCAAATGCAGAATAGTTTCAAAACAGGACAGCAGACACATTTCAGCTCATACTGCTGTATATTTAGATTTTCTAGTAAAGCGTTGGGATGATCAGATCAACCAGCTGGCACAGTTCTAGGCACCAACTCCTTTTTGAAGGGAGTTGGCAAAAGCCCTGTGACAGACTGTGAAGTGACAACACTTTTAAATGCAATTCCACTGACTTTTCTTAACTGAGTGAAAACATGTACCCAGAGAGGAGGATAGAACAGACAAGGACTTTTTCCCTGAGCTATTCAAGTAATATGCAGCTGGTTTAATTCTAGTTTGATAGGCTGTATTTACTAGGTTACACTTCAAAGTCACTCCTAATAAACCTAGCAAAATGATAGTTGCTCATTTTCTCTCTGTCAAACTAAAAATAATTGCACTTGCTTATTTCTATCGAAAATAGGAAATATTTATGACACATTTAACTCTTTCTTCCCTGCATATTTCACCTATGCTATATCAAATCTCCCCATGCATCAATCACCACCTTCTTAAGAAAAATAACCTTTTTGTTCACTTATGCATTTCTCCAATCCAAATAAAAAATGTCCTACCAGCCTTTTTCCCTGTCTACTAAGGACCACAAGGACACAAGGACAACACTCCATAAGCAGTAAAAGAAAGCTAATTCTGTAGGTATAGTGCATATAGAAGCTTCACTATGAAGTGAAATACTACTCTTCTCTAAAAAAAGGATAGCTCAGTGAACTCAGTCACAATTTGAATCAGGAGTCCACTTCTTCTCATTCCAGCAGACGTTGTCCCTCGTGTCCTGAGGGTTGATCCCATATTCCTTCCCACTCATCTGGTCCCAACGAGCCTGCTGTCCCAGGGATTTGTTGGAAAACTGCCCCTACCCCACCTGTAGACCCTGCTTGGTCCAGCAAACCTAGATCCCATGCATTCAATGTGTCTGACCAAAACCTAGTAAAACAGCCCACTGCACCATAGTACAAATTAATTAGGTAATCCTGGTCTAGAGAAAGCAAGCACTGAAACATTTCAGGCCATCTGTCACAGCTTCATTTACAGTCAGTACATTCTGGCAGCAGCAGTAGTATTGTGCCTACTGGCTGCCACATATTATTCTCCTAAGTAAATGCTCTTCTATGTGGGAATTCAAGTTCAGGATATTGGCCAAAAGCCCAGGACTACATCCTTTGGGTGACATAGACTTCTTCCGAAGAGTGGGGGCAAAAATGGCAGATGTGGGCTGAGAGAGATGGAAGCTGCTGTGTTTCACTGGAATGCTTTTTTTATATAGCAGAATCAAACTATTTCTTTTAAAAATATGATTTGCTGAATCAAACTGTGCTGCAAAATTTAATCTGCTTTTTTTCCACTGTTATTGGACTGACACAGAATCACAGTGTACTGAGTTGGAAGGGACCCACAAGGATCATCAAGTCCAACTACTGGCACTGCATAGGACACCCCAAGAGTGTGCCTGAGAGTATTGTCCCAATGCTTCTTGAACTCTGGCAGGCTGGTGCTGTGACCACTGCCCTGGGGAGCCTGTTCCAGTGCCCAACCATCCTTTGGGTGAAAAACTTTTTCCTGATTTGACATGCTTCAATGTAGACATTTTCTGGGATTCTAACAAATTGTGCATGTAGGAAAGGCAGCACCTTTTCTCCTTGGAAAATCAGCTAGAAAACCAAAATGCATCCAGATATGCATGACCATGCTTGGGCAAACAGAGCATCCACAAAAAGTTTCTCAGGACATTCTGCTGAATGGCAGCAGTTTCCTAACATACAGTTAAATACATTAGGACAGTTGCAGAACCTGAGAAAAGTCTGTAGCAGTAACTTGTCTCCTGAGGTTTGCCAGGGGGTAGAAAACACCATGTTTCATCTTTTGACTCTTCCAAACAAGAAAAACTATGTCAAAAGAAGATTGGCATTAAGAGACTCTGAACATTTCAAAGTTGATTTGAAAGCAGAATTTTTCAGATAATTGAAATGGGAAGATCTGAAAACTCTCCAGGCATAGAATTTTCTGAACAAGGGCAACAGCTCTCTTTGCCATGCAATCTGACACAGCAATTTCATCTGCTGCTGCTTGTTGAAACATTAACTGCTTGTGTCTAGAAAATCTCATTGATTTGCATTGAATCATTTGTATGAGCAGCTGAGGCATTTGGCTAGATGTCAGCCAAGAAACCACCACTTCAAACGCAGCCTGGTGTGAGCTGGCGTGACAGCTCACCGTGAAGGCTGCAGAGGCAAGGCTCTGCTGGAGAAAACTGTTCTCATTTTCCCCTTTGAAACAGACACATTTTAACTCCTCCTTCACCAGTGGTGAAGGATACTGCAGATGTAAGACTTCATCCAAGTCTGAGTCTCTTTTGGATCTTCCTGTGTCTATATGATGGAGAATTGTAACCCTGCCTCCACAAGGGCCAGTGTCCATTTCTACCTGTTCTTGCAGATGGTCTGTCATGGACCCAGGCTTTGAAGAGTCAGAATTGCTGTATGTACATGTTGCTTTCTTCTTAGGCATTGCAGAAGGCTATTCTAGAGAATATGTCATTCCCATTCCCATCAGAGCTCACCAGGATGTTCAGGTAACTGCCCTCTCTAAGCTCTTGTCACAATTATGTCTCTTATAAACACCATGAATTTTAGAGGCACAATTTTTAAATTGAACAATCTTTACTGCATTGGAGCCAAGGGGCTATAGAAACACATCCCTGGAAGATTTGCTCAACTTTTTAATCCAAGCGAAATATAGTTCTTGCAAAGAATCTGGTCAAAAGTATGACTGCTGTATTCCTTTGCTCACTCTCCCTAGCAAAATAAACAAACCAAATCAAACAAAAGCAACAAAACAACTCCCTCCAAAAAACCAAACCAAACCAAACAACAAAAAACCAAAACCCAAACAAAAAAAAGAGGAACAAGACACAGAAGTCTTGGGTTTGTTTTGCATCAGTCTCTTCTACCTTATCAAAGCCCCTGTTCCCTACTGTTATCCCCAGAGCTGTCTTCTTCAAGTGACAACAAATGTGCAGCAAAAGGTTGCTGAGCTCCGAGTGAGGAGTGTAGGACGAGCACCAGATTCACCCACATATCCAGGCTGCTCTCAGAACAAGGGAATCCCTCAGTCCTAAAAGACTACCCTGCCCACCAAAAACCTGACAATATTTCATTTTCTCTTTATGCATTTATGGTACATTAGACCACACTCTTCTTAAAAATGCTGGGAGGTTTTGCTGATGGATGGAACAAAACATCTTTACTGTACATAAAGAAATGTGTTATCATCAGTTTTGCCGGCTCCTGGCATCCACTTAAATACTAGACATCAGTTTCTGCTACTTAAACAAAAAGATCTGGGGAAAATAATTTGGAAGAATTACCAGAAAAAGATAAGCGAGAGAGTGGCTGTTCATATCCGAGTTACTGCAGCTGTGCGTGAGACTTCATGAACTGTGACTCGTCTTTGTCATTTGGACAAATGCGTTTAGATGTTTGCTTTTAAACTCAATGTGGTTTAAGCTATTACTGTCCTTGCCAAAACATTGTTCCAGTAGTCACGCTACCACTTGTGGAGTCAGAGATGAAAAGACTTCCTAAGGTCACCAGCTAGCTGTCAAGTGTGTTTAGAGCTGGAAAATTACGGACACGGAAGAGGGACTTAGCTTGCTGCCACAGCGATCAGCCAGCTCAGTTACTCATCTGACATGATGAACAGACACACACACACTAAAGAACTAAAGACAATAGCTGAAGCCAATAAAAGCACCTCACACGTTACAGCAAATTTTCTTTATCAGAACAGGTAACAAAGTAAAAGTGCTAAGAGAACTAACACTGAACAACTGAACATTCAAAATCATAACAGAGTTCATCTACACAAAAAAATTGGGAATTAATGAGTTTTATAGGCTCGGTGCCATTTCTTCTTAAAAGATAAACAGCATTTAGAAAGATTCTTAATTTTAAAAAAAAATCCACCTTATTACAGCTCTATAATGTCAATAGTCAGCAAAACTGTGCATTGCAAAATGTTCTTTTGTCTTTCAGATTACCTTTACTGTGCACATTAAAAGATGGTTAATTCTGCCCTTCACCTTGGCACCAGATCCAGGCAAAAATACTTTAATACTGTGTATTTCCCCAAGGTGCACTGACTGGGATTCAATCTGGCCAAATCAAACACATCATTTCTTCCTACACTGTTTTAGGGGGTCTAGTAAATCAGGCCTACTAATATATGTTCCACAGATAACTCAAGGATAAAATCAAGTACCTTGAAAAAGTTCAGCTCCAGCTACTTGGACAGGAGCTTGGCTTAATAAAGGCTTCCAGTACACATCTCCATTGCCTAGAAAGCACTACAGCATTTATTTTAGGGAATTTGCTTCACTGTATGTCAGTTAATAATCTGCATTAGGACTAAGCCAAGCACTTTATAGCCAGCTGTAACAATATTGTAATGTATTTAAGACAAGTACATTTTACTTCAATTCTGAAGCCATAGAAGTCATGTGAATAGATCAAAAACTCATTTTCTTCTACAATCATCAAATTGCTATAATTTGAGAGGAAATGGGAACACTATAATGTCTCAAAAGATCAGAAGCCAAAGAGCTTAAAAAAAAAATACATGTATTGTCAATGCTAAAAATCCTAAAACTAAACATGAAAAATTTTGAGCAGGACCTTAACTCTGAAAGCCCCAAAGTCTTCAAAACTTTTGAACTCTTCTTGTTTTTGCCCTTGGTTGCTGAATCATGCTAAGGTTTAGGTTGGAATAGACCTTTATAGATCATCTAGTTCCTAGTGCTGTGGACAGGGATGTTATCCATGTTATATAGGTGGAAATGAAATTCAGAGTGTAGAATTTGAGCATCAGCATCATCTTCTGATGGATCTGAGGTGCAAGTCACCCACTTCAGACAAAAGTGATGCTAAAGTAATGGGTTTTTTTCCCATTTGCAAATAATCAAATTCATCTTAAAATTCTGTTCACTTAACCCAAAGAAATTTACAGGAAAACTATGTACTTTTTAAATTGAACTTCAGAATTTTCTGCAAGTACTCTGCACAGTTCAATGCAGGACATGACACAGCCATTCAAGATAATGCCTTTTGGGCTAATTCCATTAACAAGCATCTAGGAGATATTGTGAAGAGATCCATCTGATCTGTTCCACTGCACAACACCATCTGCCCTTGCCTGACTGCAACAGCTGTCTAGGGCTGTCACTTGGCAATTCTGCTATGCAACAAGCCATCAGATACTTCCCCTCAGTATCCTGCCATGCTGAGGGATGGGCAGCCTTCCTCCTTCTGCCGTGTTTCAGTAGTTTCTTTCAACACATAGAATATCCTCCAGGGTACATGAAGTCACCTATTAAAGCCTCAGTCCTAACACTGAGAAGGGATTTCCTGCAGCAGAGATGCTGTTTGCAATGTTAGATAAGCTTGCCATCCAAACTCATAACAGTCTGGCACTACACTTCCCAGGAAAGGGACCAATCCACTTCCATGTGGGCACGGTGCCATCGCAACAGATGGGATGAATGAAGGCATTCATGAGCCTGTGCACACTACAGGCACCACATACCACTGCTGGAAACATGAGTCACAGCTCAGATCATCTGCTTAAATATTAGCGAAGGCACAGCTCCTTAGCCAGCCTTGTACCATCCACAAATATTTCCGGTGCAGCCACACACAACATTTTAGAGGTATGATGACAGCTAAATATATATTTAGGCTAATTACTTAAGAACATTTCCTTCCATTTCCATCCCATTTTTTAAATCACATGTGCTTTTTAAGACATTACATCTTACTATAATAGGCCTGTGAGCAAACAGTACCATGAAACCCTGCTATCCTTGCAAATCTCACCATTTTAAAGCAGAGCTACACCTGATCATTAGCTCAAATGCCTCTGTAAAGCACACATTTGCTGCACAAAACCACAGTAACTACTCAGTAGGTTTTACTCTTGCCTCTGAATTGGAACTGAATCAACTTCCCAGTACACAGCATTGCAAGCACTCTGCTGCTGGGGGCAATTGCATTTCAGATAAGATGTATGTTATAAGCAAAATCCTTGCAGCCATTTAAGTAAGATCTTCTGGGTTTCTTCATAAAAGAAGACAAATTTTTCCTCATCACCCACACAAGTCCAGCTTGAAATCTTTTCAGATCTCTTTTCCCTCCCACTATAGTTTCAACTATAGATATTGGTATTTCTTTCACTGATTATCTTATACTATTAATATACATCAATATCAATACAATATTTTTAATACATATTAAACCTCTGTCTGTTTCAGCAAAGACATGTCTTGCCTGTAAAGCCTTTTGGAAGACCATGACCCAGTATAAGCACATACCCACCAGCACCAGTGGTAAATGAAAAATTTTACCAGTGTAAAATAAAAGGGCAGACCTCTAGAACTTCATTTATCAGAATGTTTTGCTATCAGTAGGTTTTATTACACTATGGATTCATCCCCATCAGGCAGTAACAACAGATCTCTAAAGTTCTTTATGGAATATATATTTTACAGTGGAGCTCATTTAGCCCCCTGAGAGATTTAACTGGAGATTAAGCAAACAGAAACTTCAAGATCATTCTGGTTTGACAAAAGACTGCATACTTAGAATGCCTTTTTACAGATATATCTTCAATTACTTTCCTCTTTTTTTTTTTGGCTTCCTCTGTTCATAAGGGAGATTTCAACTAATTACTGACAAGACACCCTTAAGAGGTTATTTTGAGGAATGTAAACATTCATGTGATTTCTAAGATGCTGTCATGTATCTCCTCCAATTTAAGGAGAAAAAGTTATATGCTACAGATCCTATTAGCCGTGGAAATATTTATTTCCAAGTGACTTGAACACATGGCCTGAAAACGCATTTATTCACCATAAATTCTAGCCTTTGCTTAAGCCTTACTAATGATCCAGCTTCACTGCTCCTATTTGCTTTGGCCTAATGAATAGTATTATAAAATCAAGTCATAAAAAATTAACATGTAATCCACAATAGCTTAAAAAAGAGATGTGCTTGCATTCTGTAGACAGAATGGATCACAACAAATGGATTTTTACACCCAGCAAGGCCCACACAGTAGAGAAGATTAATCCAGGACTTTTTCCTATTAAAAGATAAAACTTTGTCACCCTTGAAACATGATTATCACACATATTCTCTGCATCTGTTTCCAAACACAGAGATCATGATTAGCTTTTCAGTGTAATAGAATAACCTATTTAACTTCAGCTGCAAACTTCTCAAATACAAGGAGAGATTCCAATGGTACTGGCCCAGGGAGTGGTGATACTAAACAGGTAAAACGTGATCATTCAGGAAGTATGAGGCCTCCCACTCTAAGGGGCTATAGGCACTGAGGTGCTGGAGGTGGAAAGTCCAGTACCTTAGGGGCAAATAACCACTGCTGGTTACTGAATG